GACCACAAGTTCTCAATGGGATTAAGGTCTGGGGAATTTCCTGGCCATGGACCCAAAATCTTGATGTTGTGGTCCCCAAGCCACTTAGTTGTCACTTTTGCCTTATGGCAAGGTGCTCCATCATGCTGGAAAAGGCATTGTTCATCACCAAACTGTTCTCGGATGGTTGGGAGAAGGTGCTCTTGGAGGACGTTTTCGTGCCATTCTTTATTCATGGCTGTGTTCCTAGGCAAAATTGTGACTGAGCCCACTCCTTTGGCTGAGAATCAACCCCACACATGGTTTCAGGATGCTTTACTGTTGGCGTGACACAGGACCGATGGTAGCGCTCACCTTTTCTTCTACGGACAAGGTTTGTTCCGGATGTGCCAAACAATCAAAGGGGATTCATCAGAGAAAATGACTTTACCCCAGTCCTCAGCAGTCCAATCCCTGTACCTTTTGCAGAATGTCAGTCTGTCCCTGATGTTCTTCCTGGAGAGAAGTGGCTTCTTTGCTTCCCTTCTTGACAACAGGCCATCCCCCAAAAGTCTTCTCCTCACTGTGCGTGCAGATGCACTCACGCCTGCCTGCTGCCATTCCTGAGCAAGCTCTGCACTGGTGGTGCCCCGATCTCGTAGCTGAATCACCTTTAGGAGACGGTCCTGGCGCTTACTGGACTTTCTTGGGCGCCCTGAAGCCTTCTTCACAACAGTTGAACCTCTCTCCTTGATGTTCTTGATGATCCAATAAATGGTTGATGTAGGTGCAATCTTAGTAGCAGCAATACCCTTGCCTATGAATCCCTTTTTGTGCAAAGCAATGATGGCTGCATGTGTTTCCTTGCAGATAACCATGGTGAACAGAGGAAAAACAATGATTTCAACCACCACCCTCCTTTAAAAGCTTCCAGTCTGTTATTCTAACTCAATCAGCATGACAGAGTGGTCTCCAACCTTGTCCTGGTCAACACTGACACTTGTGTTAATGAGGGAATCACTGACACGATGTCAGCTGCTCCTGTTGTGGCAGGGCTGAAATGCAGTGGAAAC